GTATGATAACAAGTGCCAGCTTTACACTCCATTTTCCATCAATAACAAATAATAGAAAACTGAACTGAGACAGAATATTATGATAAACCATCAAAGAAATCAATAAAGGCAGTGACCTGCTTTTCATTTGAGAAGCATGAGGAAATGCTCCCAGTGGAACAGAGGAAACTGTCTGACGCCGAATCAGATGACTGGTACATCTACACCAGTATTGTTGACAGTCATGGGCAGCAGCTCTCCGGGGTCCCAGATGCGAGTTTTCCAACCCTCCCTGGAGATACCAGGATTGAACTTCAGTCTTTACTGTATCTAAAGCATATTGACCTGCGTTTTGCACATATAACATATGCAAAGTATAACACTGATGTCATAGAACCAATACTAGATTACAGAAAGTATGTTAAATGCTACCTCTGATGTCAAACAAGGAGGGGGGGATGAACAGAACTTAAAGAAAGGGCATAAGTCAAGTTTAATATATAAAAGGCATACAGAATTAAGAGTTGTTCACTGTTCCTTCTGCCAATTGAAAATGTTACTACCCCACTTGTGTCAGAGTTTGAAAATGTTACCCTTTGGATCCTGGGGTTTCCCAAGAGTTGGTTATCCATGCGTAATCCTTCCAAGCTATGCAACAATTACTCCTGCATGATCACATTAAAATGAAAGATTGTTTACCCATCAACTCAGCAATGACAAACATATCTATCAACTTTACTTCAAAATCAAGCAAGAACCAAGACTTCTACACAAACAGCCTGTTTGAATGTGCATTTCAACCACTAAAGAGCTCAAAATAAAATACACCCTTAATATAGCATAAGAGAAGAAATAAATGCCAATAAGGTTGCCAATGTGAAAACTAGAGAAGGCTCCTGTACCTTTCACAGTTGTTATCTGGTTGTGTGACAAGCAGTACCTGCTAACTTTACTTCTATACGATCATTAAAGGGCCAGGAACACAGTCCAGGTTTCAATCTGGCAACCCTAATACTAAGAGAATAAATATCAATAACACAGCTAAAATGTATCATCCAGATCTAAATGACTAACCATGTGACAGGCAAAGTCTGAAACTGGACTGTAATCTGGATTGTGACCTACAGTACTATATTAATGTTAAGGGCAGGGGCTGGATCCATAAGACATACAGCTGCTAAGAAGTGCTGCTAGAAAGATGTATCCTTACTCAAAATAAGAAAACTGATTTTTCTTTACAATGCAATGAAATATATTGGGAAGTATCTATATTTCAGAATTCCTATACATGTAATCAAACCAGATTAAGTGGTAAGAATGAAACAGGGGTGAGGAAAAGGGCAGAAATATAGCAGATGAAGCAGAAATAGAGCAAAAGTGAAGCAACATAAAGCACGAATCTATATGAAATGGTGCTAGTACAGACTAAATGAGGCATGACTCACTAAAAAGGACAATAATGCTTAGTAAGGTAGAATGCAGCAAGAAAAAAAAGGAATACCACATTGCAAATGGTTAGATTCATTTAAGGAAACCACCGTCCTGAATTTGCAAGACCTGAGGATAGCTGTTGATGGCAGGATGACTTGAAAGTCTCTCATTCATAGGGTTGTCATAAATTGAGGTCAATCTGATGGCAGTTAACAACAATGCAGAATGCCTTAACTTTACTAAGGCAAGCCCTAATTTTCAAGCACATCTGGCTTTCCATGAACAAATCCCTAACTTTTCCAGATAGATTTAGACACAGACCTATATACAAAGTAGCTAAGAAGATTTTTTTTTACATTAAAAGTTATGTGGTGGTGGTGATCTCTGTGAAAGTTATTATAGTGGATTGAAATTACTTGACTTAAAATGTATGGGTTAAAAATCTAGATGTTACTCTATAATCTGATGTTACACTTCAGACAATGATGAAAGTCAGGCATCCGCAAGCTTATGTCTCATCATGGGAATTGATTCATCACACTGCAATCAGTCTTTTGGTTCTTATCTGAATACAGATTAAGATGCTGGGAAAGATTTACATGTTTGTGCTGTAGAGAGGATGCACAAGAAAAATAGATTTGACTGTTGATAAGGTTTAGCTTCAATACCAATTACCCATAAAGGTGACCTGCAAAAGATTATTTATAAACTGAATTAATGTCATTTTTCATAATGCAAAAGAAGAACCAAAATAGTTTCAGCTTCTCTTTTCTATTTGTGTCACTTACAACAAAAAATAGTACTGTCAAGTTTTGCCTTTATTAATTTTGTCAGATTTCTCAATGTCCAAAATGGTTATTTCTCAAACATATCATTGGCCATGATTATCTCTTTTTAGACAGTCTTAAAAAGACAAAGTGGAATCAGAAATAGTGGGGAAACAATTGATTTGAGGGTTTCAAAAATGAAAATTACTTCATCCTCAAATTTGAATCAGGTTTTCCAATTTAAAATGTCATAATTTTATATTGTCACAGATCAGGTAAATGAAATAACCCCATGCAGTCTACTAGCTTAACCTTCATTAAACATATTAAATTTAAGGTTTTAAATTTTGATTGTGCACACTTGTTGTTTTAAGATGCGAAAAAAATGTGTGCTTTTCAACTCAAGGAAAACTTGACCTTTTCCGTGCCGTCATGTCAGCTGTGACTCATGACAACTCTATAATTGGGTTTTCTTGACAGAGGGAGTAATACTTGTCCAGGATCGCCCAATGTGTTTCTATGGCTGAACAGGAACAGGTTTCTATGGCTCTGAATCCTGGTACCCTAGACACTTAATCCAACACGCAGACGTCTACAAAATGCTAGGTCTTCTAGTAATAAATGCAAATTATAGTATTTTAAAATATATATACTTTAATGAGATACCATTTTACAAAAATGAGTACTGTATTATAGTAGCACATCAAAGCAAATCATGGAATCATAGAGTTGGAAGAGACCTCATGGGCCATCCAGTCCAACCCCCTGCCAAGAAGCAGGAATATTGCATTCAAAGCACCCCTGACAATCCTTGGTTTATTATGTGATTGTGGCAAAGTTTTTTTTTGTTTTAAACATAACAATGGGGGTGTGAGTGTGTGAACTAAAAACAAATAAAGTACCTATTGCCTGATTCCTCCTTTAAAAACCCTTTTTGTTTTACTATTTTCATTATTGATGAAAATAGTAAAACCAGGTTAAATGAGGACAATCACTGCATAATTAGAAGAAATAAGATGTGAGAAAACTATTGTGAGGTGAGATGTTATTAACAGAGAAAGAGGCAAAAGAAGACTAAGTTCTATCTAACTCTTCTTCATGTCCTGTAGTGATACAAAGAAACTACAGATTGCAAAGTACAGATTGACTGAGCAGTCTCCATCCTGTCCTCCTCCAAAGCACCATACATAAAGACTGTGTTCCTTTCTCTCTCCCCCAATCCATTACACACTCAAAAATAACTATACGTGCTAGTGAGGATTTGAACATGGATTTCCTCTTTCAATTGACATGTCTAGTCTTTAAACTACCCAACATCTTAGAAGCAAGTGAGTTTTTTTGTCCCCATTTAAGCTGGCCCGAGTGCCCTTGGGAAGATGGAGGTGGGGTACAAAAATAAAGTAATTATTATAATATTATTGTTCCCCTATTTTGTTTTGTGACGCCAATCCACTCTAACAAAACCATAATTCCCATCAAAATTCATGTGGAATTGTACCAAGGGCATGTTAGGATACCATAGGACAGTGTTTCTCAACCTTTCTAACGCTGCAGACCCTTAGTACAGTTCCTCATGTTGTGGTGACCCCCAACCATCACATTATCTTCATTGCTACTTCATAACTGTAATTTTGCTACTGTTGTGAATCATCATGTAAAATATCTGATCTGCAGGATGTATTTTCAAATCCCAAATACCCAACATGCCCAAATTTGAATACTGGTGGGGTTGGGAGGGGATTAATTTTGTCATTTGGGAGCTGTAGTAGTTGCTGGGATTTATAGTTCACCTACAATCAAAGAACTCCCCCAATGATGGAATTGAACCAAACTTGGCACACAGAACTCCCATGACCAAGAGAAAATACTGGTGGGCATTGACCTTGAGTTGTCTACATTCAGAGATAACTGTGGACCAAACTTGGCATGAATACTCAATATGCCCAAATGCCCAAATGTGAACACTGGGGGTTTGAGGAAAATAGACCTTAACATTTGGGAGTTTAGTTGCTGGGATTTATAGTTCACCTCAATGAAATAACATTCTGAACCCACCAATGATAGAATTGGACCAAACTTTCCACACAGAACCCCCATGACCAACAGAAAATACTATGCTTCCTGATGGTCTTTGGCGACCCCTCTGACACCCCCTCGCGATCCCCACAGGGGTCCCGACCCCCAGGTTGAGAAACACTGCCATAGGACAATCCGTTCCTTTGTTCTGTTAGCATACATGAAAGAAATTAGGGGAAATGTATGGGGATTTCTATATCCCATTGCGTTAGGGCAAACTTTTTAATTTGGGAGATATTGAAAGGACAAGAAAAAGCTAATTATTTAATTAGTTATTATTGTATTTGTATGACTAAAGATGGGGATAAGTGAACTTTCCTATTAGGAAAAATAATTTGGCTCACTTTAGATAAGTTAAATTCAATTTGGGTGGATCAGTGGGATCATTTGCCAGATCAGGTAGCAAAGCAACATGAAATGACAAATATCAGATCTGCTCGCTTATGGGATTTAAGGGGATGCTCGCTTAGGGGATTTAAGAAAAAAACATCTGAGTTAACTTCATCATCCTGTCAAACAGCAAGGAGCTTTCAATAGCCTCCTCAACTTCAACATGGGTCACAATCAGTATTATGACAAGCTTGACTAAGTCTTTGTTCTAACCAGCCAATCACTTGGCACAGAAGTTGCCACTCATTTGAATATCCTGCCTTATATAAGAAGAGAGCTAGGTTGAGGACAAAGGCATTTGCAGGCAGACAGGAAGACCAAAGGGCAAACCGACAGATACTCTCAGTGTATGAAACCATGGCTTCAAGGAAAAAAATGAGCAGGCGACCACGAAAGAGGGGACACACCAAAAGGAAAAGGCGCATCATCCGAAAGAAAAAACTGAGATCTGTCAAGCGATACCAACGTCAGAAGCGGTCAGCTAGAACCAGATCAAGGTTGCCCAAAAGACTGCCAAAAAGACTGCCCAAAAGAGTGCCAACTAAGAAGGTACGAATGACCAGAGATGCTTGGGGCATGTTGCACTCCTACGTAGATGGCATCTACAGGAAAGTCTCTGGGGAAGCTGAACGTCTAAGGAAAAAAGAACGAAGGCCTTCTGTCATATCTTCAGATGTCCAATCTGCACTGAGGCAGATCATGCCAAAGAAAGAGAGCAGGCGAGGCACCAGGATTCGTTAGACCGAGATCCTCCCCCCTTCTCTATGGCTGGCTTAAGAAGAGAAGGGAAAAGAACCAACACCAGCCTGAGAGAAATTTCCTGCTTGCCTAAAGAATCAAACCACAACCTTCAAATTGCCAAAAAAATTCTGTAGTGTACCACTTTTCTTTTCTTAAAAGCAACCTCACTTGTAATTCAAAGATGAAAGATCCAGAAGAATCCAAGCCTATTGCCACAATAACACTGCCATAATTCAACCAACCTTCCATTAAGGTATTTTCTGCTACAAATGGAAGTGGACCCTCAGACTATAAAATTCCAGACTTTCCATCTTTGTGAAGCTTGAGTTGGTGAAAAAAAGAATACAGATCAACCATGCTTAGATCCAAAAGGAATATGTGAGGTATTTGCTGAAGGAATATTGTCCTTGCAATAAAACAGGATTAGCAGGATTTATTGTTGTTTGTTTCTTCTTTTGGAGGGATGGAAGAGGGCACACACTCTTTGTGTATATTATGACTGTATCTTTGATTGTGAGCTTTGTGTCTGATGATGAGATAATGGCAACATCATGGGACCTAGAGCTTTTAAAATATGTACATAATTAAAATGATCTTAAGGATCATCAGGCTGCATATTTCTTCACATATCCACATCTGACATGGCCAAGAATAGGGGATTGTGGCAATTATAGCACAGCTGATAAATCACCACCAGAAGCAATAAGATCTACCAACCAAAAGGTTGCCAGTTCGAAGCCCGGATCGGAGTGAGCACACGACTGTCAGCTCAGCTCACTGTTTACCTAAGCAGTTTGAAAACAGCTTAGAGCTGTAAGAAGAGAAATTAGGTACCGCTAAAAAGTGAGGTAGGTATTTTATGATACCATAAAAGAAAAAGACCATAAAAGAAAAAGACAAAAAGGAAGAAGTCCTGATGTCTCTTTGTCATAGAGGAAGGAGCGACAGGCCCCCCCTGTGAGCACAATCTGAGGGCTCCAAAAAGCTGGACGTCGACACAACATACCTCCTTTCTGTCCTGTCCTTGTCTGTCCAAACAGCATTGGATGTTTGCCATGTATGTATACTGTGGTCTGCCCTGAGTTCCCTTGAGGAGATAGGGCAGAATATAAATAAAGTGCTATGTTATATTAATTATAAGTCAAAACTTTTTGAGGGTCAAATATTCTTCACTTCTTATGGGTACACTGAATCTGTCCTTGGGCAAAATAATTGACTGCATGAGTACCAACTGACTGAGACTCAATACAAAGATAGAGGTACTATTAGTAGTTGGTTCATCACCCCAGATAAGTGCAATTTACTGTGTTCTAGAGGAGGATGCATTCCACTAAGTTTTTTATCTAGAAAAACTATCATGGGACAACTGCAGAACAATGATGTCATATGGTAAGCAGGCATTGAAGGTGCTATTACCTTAACAATCAAGGTTTTCTTGATCAATGAGGTGCCACCAAAATTATCACATAACAACAGCTTCAACAATATCAACTTCTTTATTTTTGTACTCTGCCTCCATCTCCCCGAAGGCACTCGGGGCGGCTTACAAATGGACACAATGTCCCAAGATAAAGCATAAAATAAACACACAATACAATAAAGTAAAAACTATAGCATATAAAAACAACAGTTGAAAACTCATAACAATGCCCAATGACCTACAGTGACAACTATTGTAAGACACAGCCAAACTGTAAATAAGACAAGGGAACGGGCTAGTGCAAATTTTGTCCATTCTTTTCTGTCTGATTTTCCTTAAGTACCTAGCAATCCTTTCCAATGGTGGAACATATACAGAAGCCCTGGAGGGAATAGTCACTCCACCTTCATGGTGGCTATTTCCTCCATTCCTTGAGCTAAAAAAAACTTGGACACCCGATTGTTGACTGGAGAAATGAACGGATCCACTAGAAGTATTCTAAACCTGTCCATAATCATCTGGAATACTTCTGAATAGAGATGCTACTACTACACATAACTGATGTCTGTCCTGATGAGCCAGTCAAACTTTGTGTTTAACTCTCCCTTTATTTGATCTGATTTTAGGGATAACAAACAGAGAGATCTTGCTTCCAATATTACAATTGTGTTTCACTTTCTCAAATCACATAGGCCTTTTGGTGCCACATTGTCCATCCAGATGAGAACAGATATTCCAAACCTGATGGTGGAATGCTAATAATAATAGTCACATAGCACTAATTTCTAACCAGTTTATACTGTGGGGCAAATCTTGCTGATTCCACCTTCCTTGAACATAAAATGAGTTGCATGCTGCTTCCAGTCCCTCAGGTTGGCATCTGTTGTCACCTGCTCTTCCAAAAGAGCCCAAATGAGCTGACTTTTCTGAATTGTTGTTGACAGCCACCAACAGAATAACTTTTTCACCTGTTTGGGAATTGATATATGCATATATTTTAATTCTCCTATCTGCTTGGGAGTGGATGTAAGACCAACTGCAACTTTCTCTCATGAAATTGTGCCCAAGGAATGCAGACTACTGCAGCAATCATTTGGCATTGAAGTCATGCCTACAACAATAGTACTGACACTTTTTCATGTCAGGAGCGATTTGAGAAACTGCAAGTCGCTTCTGGTGTGAGAGAATTGGCCATCTGCAAGGACATTGCCCAGGGGATTCCTGGATGTTTTACCATCCTATGGGAGGCTTCTCTCATGTCTCCACATTAGAAGAAGACGGGAGCTCACCCTGTTCCCCGGATTTAAACTGCCAACCTTTTTTTCAGCAGCCCTGCTAGCACAAGGGTTTAACCCACTGCACCACTGGGGGCTCCTTAGTCTTGTCATGACATACCTGTATAATGGTGCTCTGAATAGATTTTACTAGGGGAAAAAATCCCCAGTAATCTATCAATCACAGCTCCAAGATGTTGAAAGCACTGCATTGGCACAAGGTGGCTTCGCCCACGATTCACCAGAAAAACATGCCTGGAAAGTAAGGAGACCATAGACTTAATGTTTCTGACAACCTATGGGAGAGAAGCAAATCTGGTCAGTGCATCATCCAATTATGGATATAAATGGCTTATTGTTGCCACCAATGAGCCATGAGAGCTACTGTCACTTTTGTAAATATCAGATAATTTACCATCCTCCAGCTCAGATCTTGAAGTTGATTGTGAACCTTGCTAATAATCACCTTCCAAGGTATGTGCCTTGGATACTGTCTTTCCTTTCCTTCACTGGAAGAAGCTTGGTTACCTAAAGTAGATGTTTTTTCCCTTTAAGTTTGTTGTCCTGACACAAAATGACCACTCCATTTTTAGATGTCGTTTTTGTTCCTTTATTAAAATCTGTGATAACTTTCCCCTAGGAATTCCTAGGTCTTCCAGCATGACTCTGTGGTCACCATCTGATGGAAGCTGACTATAGAATTGCATTAGATAATCTAGATTCCTTGAGAGGTGTTATGTCTAGCAATCTCTAGGTCCTCCAGGATAACTAGTGGAAGTTGTTTACAGAGTCACACTCAAGGATCTAGAGATGCGTAGAAAAACATTTAACATCAAATCTGTAAACAATCAAATCTGAAAAAGTCAAAAATACAAATGTGGAGGGGTAACTATAATTTTCTCTGCTGCCTGAGGGCCCTTCCAGACATGACTAAATCCCAGGAGGAACCGAGAAACTAAATCCCAGTTCTTCCAAGGACTGAATCCCCACCCTGAATGCAAACCCCACACTTTCCTGGGAAAAATAATATCTCTCTGTCCTAGGAAACTGCCACTGTCTTCTAACAATCCCTTAACTTTTTAATGCTATTAAACTCCACATACTTTTGCTTCATATTGAAAGTCTCCTCACTTTCATTAGTGTTGAACGCATTTCACAGAAACATGCTTGGGGGAAAAGTTAAATACACTTTATGTTTTGAAAAGGTGTTATTGGACTGTGTTTTGTTCATCTTGGAGTCCAGAATCAATGTTTTAATTTTTTCTTAACCACACCTTTCAACAGATTACAGTTTGCCTTTATTTCAGCAGTGGAAGGTGTGGGGACTTCAGAAATAGATAATTAATCTCTATTTCTATCTATAGTTTCATAGTTAACACTGTCTTGGTTGAAGTGTAAAAACACATTCGCACTTGAGGAAATGGGTGATTAGTTGATCAAATGACAATATGAATGGTAGACAAACATAAAAATGGCTGCAAGGTGGAGCTATTTGTGAGCAGGCACATTCTGTACACAGGAAATATATCTGCTGTCATTGACGTACTGCACTTCTCAGAGACCTCAAGCACTTCCAAAAGTTTTCTTCACACATGCACTAGAAAAAGATTCTCGTCTAGAAGAAGTCTGATTTCTAAATTCATTCTTCTTTTCTGTCTGTTGATCCAGGAAGTAACCCCTTTTTTAACAGACCGGTTTTCACAGAGTATCTACACACACTATTGCTTCAAGTAAGTCCCATTCCATTCAGTGGCCCTTCCATACTAGTGGCAGATCTACATTGACCACTAGTCTACATCATAGTGGCCAATCTGGGATGGTTTACACAACCACCTCTCCCCTCGCTACTGCAGAAGTGGGAGGGAGTCCTGACTGCCCAGCAATACTGAATATGGATTGGTGCGCCAGATGGCCACCCTTTACGTACCTTCCTTTTTTCCAGGCACAACGTGGATCCGGGCAGCAGTCTCCAGACATGATATGCATCCTCACAGTCAATCGTCACTTTCAGTGATGTCAACAGGACCGACTGGTGACAAAGGACGGGGGAGCAGAGTAACTGCCCACTCCCTTTCCTGAGAGAGTGGGCAATTACTCTCTCGAGGATTGTCTTGTCATTCAAGTCAACGTCACAGTAGGAAATTGTTGATCCGAAGGACACATATCATGAATAAACAGTTCAGGTCCAGGCTATTTGTCAAATCGCATCTCCCAGTATAGACCATCATGTGCATTGCAATCTACAGAGGAGGCCCTCCTCTCAGTCCCATCCTTATCACAAGCTAGGTTGGTGGGAGTTCCGTCTCTGGAACTCCCTCTCTTTGCTCCCCGTCTTTGGAACTCCCTCTCTAAAGAAATAAAAACAGCCCTACCCTTGTCTCCTTTAAGAAAAAAACTCACCTATACACTTTAGCGTTTGGAGAGGAGGAGGATTAGGATTGCTGGCTAATCTACGTGTATTAGGCGGTTGTTATGATATATTTTAAATGAAACACCGTTGTCAGCCGTTTCAATGTAATATCTTATAATTTGTGTGGGTGTACATTGTAATGTTTATTTATGTTTTAGTTTTTATGTCTTAATGGATTTTTCTTGTTTTTATTTTATTTTGATACTTAATTTCTTTGTTATAAGTTTTCTGTTGTTACCGTCCATTATTTTGATTTGTCTGCAGCTTCAAGGCTTGGCTGCTTGCTGCCTGGAGGAATTCTTTGTTGGGAGGTGACTAGCTGGCCCTGGTTATTTCTTATCTGGAAGTAAGAAACAATTTTGTTCCTTCCCTAAGAACATCGGTCCCCACCTGCTGGCTGGACAATGAATCAGCACTCTACAGGTGGCTGCTAGGCCTCATTAGGCCTCGATTCACCAATCTAGATTACCAGAGTAAACGAACTCTGACAGAACTCCTGGCATTTGACTTTTGGACTCTGACAAATGGTATTTCTGACTTCTTGACTCTGACCTTGGCTTCATTTTTACCCTTGTATTGAAACCTGACCCTGCTGCTTTTCTGACTACTGACATTTTTGACTCTGGATTGTGACCTTGGCTAATGACTTTGTTTCTTGGCTTGGAACCTGACTCCTCTGCTTTTCAGACTACCGGTATTACTGTATCTGAACTGTGACCTTGACTTCTGTTTGTTCCTGACTTGACTCTGTTGCTTCACCAGCTTGACTTCAGCTTCTTGGACTTTGAATCTTGGCATAGGCTTACACTTCCTGAATCTTGGCATAGGCTTACACTTCTTGGTTTTGGATTATTGGCTTTCGCTGTCTTACTCCTTACTAAATGTGACATCCTGCATATCTAACAAAGCTTCTGACAGAGAAGTTCCTTTTTATGCCTACCCCTTTTCCTCTCTATCTGGAAGGAGCAGTATTGTGAAGATGCTGAAAAAGAGCAGGATAAATACAGATTTTCAGTGTCATGTTGCATAAGCATGTTTTCAGTAAACTATGTAAGAAAACCTTGAGGTGGGAAGAAGAATATTCTGCTCTTTCTGATCCACCTGTAGTTGTGTGTGCCTGCCAGCAACAGGCAAGATAATCAGCAACTGTCCAGAATCTACAGAACAGCAAAACAGAAAGAAAAGGAAAAGCAGAGAAGACTGCCTCACCCCCCCCCCCCCCCCCCCCCCATAATGTTAAAGAACGATAAAACTGGGTTGTTGTGTGTTTTCCGGGCTGTATGGCCATGTTCCAGAAACATGTTCTGGAACATGGCCATACAGCCCGGAAAACACACACAACAACCCAGTGGTTTCGGCCATGAAGGCCTTTGACAGACCATAAAATGGTTTGTTTAACCAGTTGAAATGTAGATCAAAAGAAAAGTGGGAGCTGCTGAAAGAAGAAGAAGAAATATTTGGGTGCATTTTGAAAGAAGTTTTCAAGTAGCCTCTATAGAGTTTCAAAATGTTTTTATGTGTATGTATGTATGTGTGTGTATATATATACACATTCCAGGATATATGACTATGAACCATAAATGAATTTTGTGTTCAGACTTGGGTCACACCTCTAAGATACTTCATTATGTACAAATATGCAAATAAAATATGGAACCTGTAGTACATTTTGCCTTCTTGTTGCCAAGTCACACATATTGCTCGCAGGCCTCTGTTTCCATCTGTAAAATAAATTTGGAGGATATGGAGCTGTTTTAGGGAATTATTTTCTGTGGACATAATCTGATCCTGCCAGAATTTGCTGAACATGAATATTGTGTCCCTCTTACTGAAATGTGGAATGCATGATCATTCTGAGTTAAGCACAGATACAAAGGTGCATCTGAAGGCATGGACAAACTTCAGCGCTCCAGGTGTTTGGGATTTCAACTCCCACAATTCCTAACAGTACTGTGCACTATTCAGACCATTGAAGGTTACCAGATGTTTGCTATATAATGCATTTTGTGGTGATTTAAAATTGTTTGAAATGTTTTTATGAATTTTGTTGTTATTTTAACCATGTTGAAATTCAGGCTTGTCCCCATGTAAGCTGCCCCGAGTCATTTTGGGGAGATGGAGGCGGGGAACAAAAATAAAGTAGTAGTAGTAGTTGTTATTATGATTATTATTATTTGAAACACAACGAATTCACAGCAGACAAGATCACTCTGCTGACTATTGTATTGGATCACACGTCGAACACTTCCCAAGTGTCTAGGACTGTGTGATGGATCGGCAAATAATGCATGCAGATCTCAGTAAGGTGGCCTTCTGCAGCTGGCAGATGGTAATCTTGTCAGCACTGATTGTGTTTAAGTACAGGCCAAGGTCTTTAGCACTGCACCCATTGTGCCGATCACCACTGGGACCACCTTGGCTGGCTTGTGCCAGACTCTTTGCAGTTCGATCTTTAAATCCTCATATTGTGTCAGCTTTTCCAGTTGTTTCTCTTCAATCCTGCTGTCACCTGGGATTGCAACATCGACAGTCCATACTTTGTTTTTTAAAACAATTGTGAGGTCAGGAGTACATTATTATTATTATTATTATTATAAAACATGGTTGTTCGAGCAAGCATTTACAAATGCAGAGTAGCCAATATATAGGAAATTGAATGACTTGATGGAACTGGACAATGCTTGATAATATTGAGACGCTAATGTTTTTTATTACTCTTGTGTTTTTACACTATTTTAATGTTTTATTCTGTATTATGATTTTAGGTGTACTGATTTGTTGGAAACCACCTTGAGTTGCCGCTTGGCTGTGAAAGGCGGTATACAAATACCGTAAATAAATAAATATTATTATTTAATGCAGTTTGACACCGTGTTAACTGGCATGGCTCGATGCAATGGAATCATGTCGCTTCACAAGGCCTTTTATCTTTTCTGCCAGAGTGCTGGTATTTCACAAAACTACACATCCCAGGATTCCATTGCATTGAGCCATGGCAGTTGAAGTGGTGTCAAACTGCATTGATTCTACAGTGTAGATTCACCTCGTGACTTTGTAGACTAGGTTTAGATGACTTTGGAAAATGTCTTATCCTCTCAGACACAAAAGGGAAGGCAAAGGCAAGACTTAGCTTTCTCTGAACAAATCTTGCCCATGAAATCCCTTGAAAACAGACTTGAAGGCAGGCAACTAACGAGATTGGAGTTTGCAATTCAGTTCCTGCGCAGGCGCAGAAGCACCGTCTGATTGAGAAGGCAGTCCTTTCTTCGCCCTGCTCTAGTGATGACAACGGGGGCGGGACGTACTGAGCATGCGCTGTAGCCTAGCCGGAAATGGTGGACACGCGAGGAGAGAGCGGAGACGGAGAACGTCCCAGAAGTGCGAGCGCTTTTGAGTAACTTGTTGGGCGGAAGGGCCGGGCTGAAGGAATTTCCCTTCACCTGTCTGTAAACTGACTCTTCTTAAAGGGAAATACCTGGGGGTGCATCTCCACTGTAGAATTAATCCAGTTTGGCAGACCTTTCACTAACATGGCTCAATGCTATGGAATAACGGGAGTTGTGGTTTTATATGGCTTTTTGCCTCCTCTGACAAAGAGTACTAGTGCCTCATCAGACTACAAATCCCATTATTCCATAGAATGGGCCACTGGCAGTTAAAGGGCTGCCAAGCTGCATTCATTTCAGAGCACAGATCAGGCATGGGCTAATTGGGCCTTCTAGGTGGCTTGGACTTCAACTCCCACAATTCCTCACAGCCAACCGGCTGTGAGGAATTATGGGAGTTGAAGTCCAAACCACCTGGAAGGGGCTAAGTTTGCCTATGGTTGGTATAAATGCACCCTAGGTATAGACGCATCCTAGGATTAAGGGGCTCCCCAGTGGCACTGTGGGTTAAAATGATCAAGGGTCTGGAGAACAAGCCCTATGAGGAGTGGCTTAGGGAACTGGGCATGTTTAGCCTGAAGAAGAGAAGGCTGAGAGGAGATATGATAGCCATGTATAAATATGTGAGATGAAGCCACAGGGAGGAGGGAGCAAGCTTGTTTTCTGCTTCCTTGGAGACTAGGACGCGGAACAATGGCTTCAAACTACAAGAGAGGAGATTCCATCTGAACATGAGGAAGAACTTCCTGACTGTGAGAGCCGTTCAGCAGTGGAACTCTCTGCCCCGGAGTGTGGTGGAGGCTCCTTCTTTGGAAGCTTTTAAGCAGAGGCTGGATGGCCATTTGTCAGGGGTGATTTGAATGCAATATTCCTGCTTCTTGGCGGGGGGTTGGACTGGATGGCCCATGAGGTCTCTTCCAACTCTTTGATTCTATGATTCTATGAAACCACTGAGCTGCTGAACTTGCTGACCAAAAAGTTGGCGGTTTGAATCCGGGAAGCGGAATGAGCTCCGGCTGTTAGGCCCAGCTTCTGCCAAACAAGCATTTTGAAAACATGCAAATGTGAGTAGATCACTAGGTACCGCGGGAAGATAACGGCGCTCCATGCAGTCATGCCAGCCACATGACCTTGGACGTATCTATGGGCATGGTGCACCCTTCCCTTTCCACCTATTAATCTACTCACATTTGCATGTTTCGAATTTCTAGGTTGGCAGAAGCTGGGGCTGAGAGCGGAAGGTCATGCCACTCCCTGGGTTCGAACCTGCGACCTTTCACTCAACAAGCTCAGCAGCTCAGTGGTTTAACCAACTGCGTCACCGGGGGCTCCCAGAATGAGTGAATAGTAGGAGAAAAATTGCTCAGTAATAATTATGACAGAATTCTTAAGACTGTTAATATGCTGCAGATATCATTAAGGGGAACGCTATATACCATATTATCTTATAAAGTTGTAAGTTTGAAGTTAAGTTAAATGCTGCTTGGAAGCTTTTTCCAGGAAGGCAAAATAGAATCCGGGGAGTGGGGTGAGCTCTGGCTGTTAGGCCCAGCTTCTGCCAACCTAGCAGTTCGAAAACATGCAAATGTGAGTAGATCAATAGGTACTGCAGGAAGGTAACACTCCATGCAGTCATTCCGGCCACATGACCTTGGAGGTGTCTATGGACAATGTTGACTTCGGCTTAGAAATGGAGATGAGCACCACCCTCCACAGTTGGACACGATTAGACTTAATGTCAGGGGAAACCTTGACCTTTACTAGGAGAAGCTGATTTCACAGCCATTTGTATTGAGAGCTAGCTCAGATATGACCCTCCTGCTCATTAAGGCAATTGGGGATGTATTTCCCTTCTTCCTGTGTAGAGTTGCTAGTTAGTGTTCCCTTTCTGCTGTGTAGAGTTGCTAGTTAGATTTATTAAGAAATACATGGTTCTTGGAGGTTTTGTTTGTTTGGTTTTGGAGCTGGTTATCAGAAAAACACATCTCCTTGTTTTACAGGTTGAATACTCCTTATTCAAAATGTTTGGGACCAAAACTATTTTGGATTTCAAAATTGAGATATCTTGGAGATGGGACCTAAGTCTACACAAAAATCATTTATGTTTCATATACACTTTATACCAGGGCTCAACAAACATTTTAATCAGAGGGCCAGATCACAGTCCCCAAGGCTGTTGGAGGGCCGGATTATAATTTGAAAAAAATGAATGAATTCCTATGCACACTGCACATATCTTATTTGTAGTGCAAAAACACTTAAAATACAATAATGAAAATGAAGAACAATTTTAACAAATATAAACTTATTAGTATTTCAATGGGTTGTGTGGGCCAGCTTTTGGCTGGTGAGATAGCGTTGTTGTTGTTGTTTTGTGCTTTCAAGTCATTTCAGACTTAGGTTGACCCTGAGTGAGGGCTGGGTAATGACCTTGGAGGGCCGTATTCTGCCCCCGGGCCTTAGTTTGAGGACCCCTGCTTTATACACATAGCCATGAGGCTGTTTTATACAATATTTTAAATACTTTTTGATTTATGTTCTTTAAGCCATCAAAAGCAAAGGTATCACTCAGGCAACACAAGTGGAGGGTTAGTCTTTTAGAGTATTTTGGATTTTGACATTTGGGAGAAGGGACGTTCAACCTGTATTTCAAGTGTATGTCATAGGTAGCCAAATGGACACAGGAACATAGGAAGCTGTGTTGCATTGAGAGAGTTTGATTGGCCAAGGTCACTCAGTGGCTTTCCGTGACTTAATAAGGATTCACACTTTGGTCTCAGTGGCCCCATCTTTACTGTCATACAAAATCCAGATTATCTGTTTTGAACTGGATTATATGGCAGTGTAGACTAATATAATCCAGTTCAAAGAAGATTTTATATGTCAGTGTAGATGGGACCTAAGAGTCATAGTACAATGCTCAAATCACCACATTGTTCCTCTCTAGAGATCCATGGCATTTTCTTATATTCCCCAATTCAAGTGCTTGTTTATTTACAGTATTTGCATGGAACTGTGAAATGGTTGTTACTGTAGGGTCTTGCCTTTGGCTGTGATTAAGATCCCTGAAGCTACTGTCTATATAGGGAGAGAAGCCTCAATTGGTGTCAGGGAAGGGATTTCTCCGTTTACAAGCAGCAGCTTTGGGGAAGCTTTTTTTTTTTACCAGATCACAGCAAAGGGAATAGGAGCCCCTGGTGGTGCATTGAGTTAAACCCTTGTGCAGGCAGGACTGCTGACCAAAAGGTCCATAGTTTGAATCCGGGGAGCGGGGTGAGCTCCCATCTGTCAGCTCCAGCTTCTCATATGGGGACATGAGAGAAGCCGCCCACAGGATGGTAAAATATCCAGGCATCCCCTGGGCAATGGCCTTGCAGACGGGCAATTCTCTCACACAAGAAGTGACTTGCAATTTCTCTATTCGCGCCTGACATAAAAAAGCAAAGGGAATTAACATTTTCTTCACTGTCCTTTGCAGTTCCATTTTTCCTTCCTTCACTGCTTTTTTTCATTCCATTCACAGAGTTATCATTGAATATAGTTTGGTCCTTAAATTGATCTATTGAACTATAAAGTCTAGGCTTGGTAATCTATGGAATTATGGAAAAAAATATGGATTTATTTTCAGTGACCAAAAATAATGTCATGGAGAATGGCAGTAATGTACTGTACAAGTGAAGACAGTTTTTTTTTCACAGTTGAATCTCTTGATATATTTCAACCAGCAGTTCTCAGATCCCGATAAACTACTACATTCCCAGTTTATTTAAGCACTCCATCCCAGTATTTTAGTCACAGTTGGGGAATATATTGAATATAGTTTAAAGAATCTGAATGAGGTTGCCACAAACCCAAAGCTGCTCTCAATATATGCAAGTCTAGTCAGTTCTACATTTAATTGCAATTTAACGTTTAAATAGTGCTTGTCTCTGGTTTCAAAACACCAATAAATAGCAATGCCTGGCTAGTGTTACTCTTAGCTAAAGTGAGTGCTGACACACGTTTTTATCACAGCTAACATAGGCTATAGAAATTGCCACTTGAGACTGGAGAAGAGTGTTCATCCTGTGGTCTAGTTTCAATTCTTAAAGCTTACTTTCTCTCCGTTCAACCATATAGTGACAGTCTTGGCTGCAGTCTTTTCATCCTGATCCCAGATACATGTTTTATGTTCATCACTTAGCTCCCATGTTTATTTGTTTTGTCCTCCCCACCGCACCGCGCCCCATAGTGTCATACAGAAGGAGGCCAGCCTTCTGTTTTGTGTTTTCACCTGTCCTATAAAAACACTTCTTGAGCTTTGAGGAGCTCTGTATTGCCAGGTTCAGTTAAGGCACATTCTCACCTGTGACATTCTCACCTGTGACCTGTGTATGACTGATATATGAATGTTGGAGACCTTACTCTTGGGACCTATTCTTTCTATCTGCAAGATGTTCTGAAAAAGCAGTGTGTTTGGCTTTAGCAATGTTAAACTCCTTAAGTGACTGCCATTGCCACTTCATTTTTGTTGTTCTGTGTATCTCTGAGGTTGTCATGAATATGACAGTGATGTTTGCTTATGTATCTTTAACAGAACAAAAGAAAAACCATTGGTTCCTTCAAAAATTATTTTTAAAATCAAAATGTTTGCCAATGTTTAAAGATGAGTAGTTGTCTTCTATAAATCTTTATAAAGCCACAATCTTTTAGTTGTGGATAGACCAAGGTAGTGTGCAGCCAAGGCACAAGATCCCTTCTATTCTCCTTTGGTGCTGCTTTGTTCCTGGAATCTCACGCAGCAACTATAGCCAAGAATGCCAGCTGTGAATTTTTCATTGTGTAGACTTCACCAATTCTTTAATTATTGGAATCTTTTCTGCAAGATCCATATCTTGATAATGTTCAGTTTATTATATAATATTGATGGATTCTACATTTGGCTGCTCTGAAGATAATTTTGAAACTCAGATGTTACTAAATGTGTAATTATATATTTTAACAAGTGTGAGTTGCCAAAATCAGGATGCAGTCAATAAAAGATCTACAGTATGTCAGTTGGCTGTTACTTCTAGGTCTGATCCTGATTTTGATTTTAAAGGTCATATAGAGGTAAAATGTGCCATGTCTGAAGCAATACCTCTTCTTATTGGCTAAGATCATGAAAGGAAGTTATATTCCAAGGACTCCAACTGTCCGGGATATGGACTAATGAAGGATTCCTTACCTAAGAATGGGAATACTAGAATTTTACTGTCTATCAAGAATTCTTGATTATTCTGAAATGGCTATTGTTAAAAGTGGTCAGATGAAACTACTATACATGCAGATAGAAACACCATTTTATTGTTATTTATTTATATGCATGTCTACTGGTTATTCTGTTTTTTGTTGTTTTATGTCTGAATTACTTAGTGTGCATAGTTCCTCGGTATCTGTTCATATTTTTACATCTGTTCCACCAAATATTGAAGATTGGTGCTGAACCTGATCCCCAAACTATGAAAGTATAGGAATGGCAACTCTTTTTTTTAGCAGGCATGCTTGTCGGTATCCTCATAATCCAGGACTGCTATATTGCAAGAACACATGAGCCCCAAAGCAAAATGGAAGGTAACAGATTCAGCCAGTGAAAAAGGTGAAAATTGACTTCAAGGTGATGATAGAATAGTGAGAAGTTAAGCTTTGGATTTTTTCCCCTGGTGTTGTCATCTTTGTGTTCTCTCTTAATTTAAATTTATGCCAATGTAAGATAGTGAAATCTCAAAAATTTAAAACTTATAGAGTATATGTGTGTGTGTATGATACTATAATATTTGAAATCATGTTATACATATGCATTTATACACAGTGTATAATTAAAGAGCTAAAGAAATAACACAGCTCAGTACTACATCGATATTCTCATAAGGAAATCCTGCTGAGTTCAAAGGAATCTACTTTCATATATTAATGTTCAAGACTTATACCCTGGATTGCAACATTGTTATGTTCTAGTAAGCCATTCATGTGTAACATATTGGCTTCTGTTTGTCATAATGCGAATGGGTAGTTCATTTATAATAATAATAATAATAATAATAATAATAATAATAATAATAATGAATTTATTACCCGCATCTCTCTGCAGCTCTCAGTAGGATACAGCATACTTAAAACAAGAGATAAAACACTTTGAAAAGACATACAAGATAGAATTAAAATAGAAGTTAAAATCCACTGATAAAATGCAAACTGAAATTCACCACTTAAAATTGCCCAGGTGCTTAGACTGTGTGCTTAGATTTGACTTAGAAAGGTGTTGTTCAATCTATGCTGGATAGGATTGTACAGAAATAGGCAATGTGTAGCTTTGCACTTGTTGTTGAAGTGCCTGTCAGCCCTGACCATTATAAACAAGGGTAAGAAAAGATAGGAGTTTCTGTCCAGTAGCATCCAAGGAGTCACACATTCTTCATCCCTTTTTTCAAAGAAATAAGAACATAGTCTGCTACGGGGCTGATCTAGCCATGTCATTGGAAAACCACGCCGTCTCTAATTCCTTTATGGCTTAAGCAAATACACCAGCCCTGGTTTACTTCTATGGACAACAAGTTAAACATGAGCCAACAATGTGATGTGGCAGCAAAAAAAGCCAATGGGATTTTGGCCTGCACCAATAGGAGCATAGTGTCTAGATCTAGGGAAGTAATGCTACCCCTCTATTCTGCTTTGGTTAGACCACACCTGGAATATTGTGTCCAATTCTGGGCACCACAATTCAAGAGAGATAGTGACAAGCTGGAATGTGTCCAGAGGAGGGCGACTAAAATGATCAAGGGTCTGGAGAACAAGCCCTATGAGGAGCGGCTTAAGGAGCTGGGCATGTTTAGCCTGAAGAAGAGAAGGCTGAGAGGAGATATGATAGCCATATATAAATATGTAAGAGGAAGCCACAGGGAGGAGGGAGCAAGCTTGTTTTCTGCTTTCTTGGAGACTAGGACGCGGAACAATGGCTTCAAACTACAAGAGAGGAGATTCCATCTGAACACGAGGAAGAACTTCCTGACTGTGAGAGCCGTTCAGCAGTGGAACTCTCTGCCCCGGAGTGTAGTGGAGGCTCCTTCTTTGGAAGCTTTTAAACAGAGGCTGGATGGCCATCTGTCAGGGGTGATTTGAATGCAATATTCCTGCTTCTTGGCAGGGGGTTGGACTGGATGGCCCATGAGGTCTCTTCCAACTCTTTGATTCTATGATTCTATATTGGATTGCCACAGTATGATTGTATATAGGGCTTTCCTCAAAGATTGGGTGAATATCTTGCAAGGTTTATAACAGATTTGTCTGCTGTTATGTAGTGCCTGTGAAAAATTTTAAATGCTCATGTTTACTGTGTCTAGAGGTGAGTCTTATTCACTACAAGTGACTATACAATTTGCGAGGCTTTTAAAGGTTTGGGTGTATGCAACTGGGACTCAATCTGTACTCATCTGTAGTCACTATTTAATGTAGTTTCAAACTGGTATTGAAGAAAGTGTTTTTGCTATGCAGATGATTACATAGGAAATCCTGGAACCAGTTTGAGGTCTTGATGGTCATTACACAAACCACAGTGCACTGATGCACATTAAGGACTTTCTTTTGTGCACTTTTGTGGGAGCATGTTGTTTGGCCTCTGCAGTTTGAAGTTAGCTTTAAATTGCATTAAATGGTCTGTGTAGATGGGGCTTGAATTGCTGAAATCTCTCCCACCTTCATCTCCCTTAAAATATATGCAGAATTGTGCAGCGTTATTGAAGAGCAGGTGTTGGCTCCATATCGAATATATACACCTATTTAAAGTCTGTAATTCCAAATTTAGCAAAATTCTAGTGGAGTGAGCACAAGAGGAGAATTTTGCTCCTCTAAAATTCCCCCCGTGTCTCATCTCTCAGCTTTACTAACCTTGGATCTGGTGTAGATTTTTAAATTCCCATTAAAATTAAAAACTTGCCTTTTTATGTCGTAACATCATGTGGATCTAGGTTGGGATATTCTTGTGCTAGACCTTTCACTATAGCAGCACCCTGACTGTAGAACTCTCTGCCATGGGATGTTTGAGTGTCTCTGTTGGCTTTGGTTTCTGGAAAGCAGCAAAAACAGTGCTTTTCTACATGGCCTTTAACGTTTGATCTTTAAGAATATTTAACTTGTTTTAAAATATTTTTACTTATTGGGCACCATCTTGGGGATCTTGATTGGTTGGGATGCAATATATAAATAGTATAATAAGCAAGTGAACAAATAAATAAAACAGTAACTTCCTTTCTGAAGTTAGCTGCTACTGAAATTCACTGCTTCTTGATAAACCAATATTTCAGCAAACCAAAGAACCATTTAATTGGGGTTTGACTGATAAACAGACTTTGCAATTAGCACTTCTGAGGCAAATTCATTTCAGAACATCAGATTTATTATGGACTTCTAAGCAACATTTTTTTCTGTTAGTATATTGCGACTTGCATCTAAACTTGGAATTATTGTTGTTCTCTTGCAGATGAACCGCTTAGACATGTAGAAAAAGATGTTTTGATTCCAAAAATGATGAGAGAAAAGGCCAGGGAGCTGTGTTCTGATAAAGTGCAAGGTGAGACTGAATTCAACAAAATATCAAATTGAATTACTTATGTGACCTGAATTTTATCCGTTGCCAGACATTCACAGTATCAGTGAATCTGTATGCATGATCTAGATCTCCTCCTTTTATTGCAAGCAAACTGTTATACGGTACCGATGTTACTGGATTGTTATAATCTCCTAAAATAAGATAGTTGCAAAATGGATGCTGCACTGAAGAATGGGAGCATTCAACACTTTTATTTGGAAAATATCAGGAGCAGGGGGTGATGCGTAGTAATTATTATTTGGTTGATTAAAACAAATTATGCATATAATTTATTCTGATAATCTTAGAACTCAGTGATAGTCAGGAATGACAAATACCCTTTTAGACTCACAAATGAGGATGAGAGTATTGTTCCCAGCCATTTGTTTCTTGTCACCCAGTTGGAAACCTGGGAACAGATTGGGTACAGTAATAGCTACTTTTGTTCATAAGTTCCCACTTGTACAAAAGATCCCACTTTTGCACATTAGAAAACTGAAACTTTCAGGGCTTTTTGTGTTTGAGTGGGGACAGGATGGCCTTCAGGGATAGGGGAAACCTGGTGCTTCCCTACAACTCACTTGCCCACTGAAGGTCTATGCAGTTGTTTTCAGAGAACATCACAGCTCAATGATAAGGAACCTGTGATCTTTCATTTGTTGTTCAACCACAACTTCTGTCCTTTGAGCTCTTCCTGGCTGGGGTAAATTGGGGTTTGGGTCCAGCAACATGTAAGGGGCTTTTGTTTCTCTCCCAATAACTTATTACCTGAGCAGTAAAATTCATGAGTTTTGAAACATCAGAGCAGGTATATGTGACTCTTCAAGAATTTATCTTACAGACACTGGTCATCTTCACTGGGAGATTCTGAGACTTGAAGTTCAAATAATCTATTTTCTAAGTTTTGCTCTCCATGTGTAGTGGCTCACTAAGAATTGCAGCGTTTTCTGTTCAGGCATACTACTAGCAGTACCCAGTGGTATACAGTGTCAGAATCAGCTGAAGTGAATTTGAATCTATGTGAATTTAATACACAATTGGAATGAAATGTCTGGCAATGAAAATGCTTTAATACAGATGGGAAAACTTCCATCGGCAGTCATAATATCAGCTGGTAGCTTTTTAGAGCCTGGCTTTGTTTATTCTTTGCCATTTCAATTCTATAAGGAGCAATGTACACATATGTACATTGTGTTAAACCACCACATTCACCAGTAGGGACCTACACTTAAAAGTGTTTGTATTCCTCTTTGTTGCCTTGAATTACTGCCGGACGCTCACCTAGATGAGGAATGCTTCTGAACATTTCTGTACATTTGCTCTTCTGTGGTCTAAACCTTTAGCTATAAACCAAAATAAATGAAAATTAGATTTGACTCATAATAGGGCATGGCAGTAGAGGGAACAGGAACACTGAAGAATATGGCATAAGACTCTCTCACCTTTGCATTCAGTTAAACTGTCAACATGTGGAACAACTCCCCATATGTTTTGGAATTACAGGGGAAAGAGGTGTGATGTGAAAATTGCAAAATAACCTAAGTCCTGTGAACAGGAGAGAAAGAGAGAGGCTAAAAGCATTCACTCAGGGGAAGTAGGTCAGATACCTCAGGGGTAGTTCCTGTATTTCCAGGCACTATGGCTCTTACTTTTGGTATACAGATTTGTATAAAAGGACAGACTGGGTGGTCTGAGATTTTTAGATGGATTAAAGTTCAATTTATGCTTTAAGTGTTTGATATCTAAGGATTTAGAGAACACAAACTATGGAATTGCGGGCTAAGAACAGATAGAACTACTTGCAACCATAGCTTAATATGTAATATATTTTAGTCTCTGTATGTGTATATGTGCACAAATATAATGATACTGATTCTTTGTTTAGTTTTTTAGGGGAAAAGTTAGTACTACATTATAGAGGGGGGTGCTTTGTACAATAAGAAGCAGATACACAGCTTGAAATTGTAGGTTCACTGCTTTGTTACAATTGTCTTCTTGTCTTGGCTTAATATCCAAGTTAAGGATCACCTATACAAACTAATGGATCCCCTGGTGGCACAGCGGATTAAACCGCTGAGCTGCTGAACTTGCTGACTGAAAGGCTGGTGGTTCTACTCTGGGAAGCTGGGTGAGTTCCTGTTGTTAGGCCCAGTTTCTGCAAACAAGCAGTTTGAAAACAGGCAAATGTGAGTAGATCAATAGGTACTGTTTCTGCGGGAATTTAACAGCACTCCATGCTCTCATGCCGGTGCCATGACCTTGGAGGTGTCTACGGACAACGCCAGCTCTTTGGCTTAGAAATGGAGATGAGAATCATCCCCCAGAATCAGAAACAACTAGACTTAATGTCAGTAGTTGAGGTGGAGTGATGTTATGTGCCAAACACAGAATGTTTAAAATAAATCCCAAGTATTCTTAACCAGTAACAGGTTTATTTTTCATTTAGGTTTAAATTGTTCTCAAATGTTATATATGAGTGAATAGTAGGAGGAAATTTGCTCAATCATAATTATGACAGAATTTTAAAAACTGTTAATATGCTGCAGATATCATTAAGGGGAATGTTATATACCATATTACCTTATAAAGTTGTAAGCTTGAAGTTAGGTTAAGTGCTACTCAGAAGTTCTTTGCAGGAAGGCAAAATAGAAATATAATGAAGCGTATTGTGGAGTCTCTGTAACTCCATCTTCAAAGTTTGTGAAGAGGACAGCAGTCTTTTTCAGAGAGAATAGCATGTAAAGGAATCTTAGGAAAAGATCACATTTGTAGTACATATGTTCATATTACCAGAGCATGAAACTTACACAGCAACCAGCCAAACAAACAAATCGGTTCATGAGTATACAAGTTGTCACCAAATTTTATTTGTAGATATTGATAAGAATAGAATCCGAACCCAGGTAGAACTGTGGGCACACTCAGTCCATATAAGATGGTGCTCATTCAGACACAACAAAAGAGCTAACATTTGCTAAAACATCACTAGTCTTAAACCTGCATGAAAACTTTCCTTTGGAAAGTGCTTTAGGTGCTATTTGGATGTCTTAATTGCCAGTGAAAACAAACCTCAGGAACAGTGTAACCATTTTTTTTTAAAGAGAGTAAGATTGCCAAGAAAGGGATACATTAGACAAATAGGCATTTTACTTACATTGTGTGAAAGGAGGAGCGGCAAGACCCAAGCTGTTATATCAATACTGATTTCATATAATGGGAATTGCCCTTTGATGTATGTTCTACTGTGTTTCACACTGATTTTGCCCTGTGATGCAAACAGCCATTATTATTCCCAACTTCATTGAAATCTGTTAAGAAAGCTATACAATATTGAATATATGTGTTCATATAATTGTGAGGCATTGTAAATCCACAGTATTAAAGTTTACACCTGCATATGTGTTGTAATCATGTTGTTTAGGTGTGAATAAAACAAAAAAACAAGCAGAAGTACCTTTTCATATGTATTAATCAGACTGGTCTGCTGCAAATACACCTTCTATTTTCTCCTAAAATAGGTCAAATGTTAATATGATAAACCAATGATGCTTATCAAATTTGTCCTATAGTTAGATTCATTATAAATTTATGTTTAAAAACTTAATTTTTAATCTGTTTGAAAGATGAACATTTTCTTGTTAGAGCTTTTTCAAATTCCATTGAGTGACAGACATGATCCCTTAAGTACTCAACAGTTAACATGTTTGCACAAACTGTTTCACTTCTCCTGTGCTCATCTTCACTGAAGCCTGAATGCCCAGATTACAACACAAACTTCAAGAACTTTTAGTCATTTTTATGACCTGATGAGAAATTGATGGTGACTTATAATAAATTGAGACCTACGACTAAATCAAATTGTTAGTAGCAAGTCAATGAAAACTATGCTAGTTCCATCTAGTTGGGACTAGTAAGTGTATTTGAGATCTAGAAACCTATAGACTACAGTTTATGTAGGGTTGCCCTTATTTGCTATTTGGATAGTTCAACTGGTGATCTCTGGCAGTGTATTTCAATTGTTATCTGCCCTGACTTCTAGGGCCCTCCAAACTTTGTTCAAGATGCTGCTTATGAAGTCCTAGATCCTCCCCCAGCTTCCATTGCTCTATAATTTTGAAGCTCAAGAAGAAATATTCTCTTAGATATATCACCTATATCACCTATATACCAAATCTTTCTCAAAATTATTTGTCCCAAACCTTCTCAGAGTTAAAATCAGAGTGCCTTCTAGAAACAATAGAGCAATTTTATTCAGTGCCATTTTTGATGACTTGGGTTGGCTAGAATAGCATGCTGATTTCTTTCTTTATCATCATTTCTAGGGCAAATTTTGTGACCAATATATAAAGGATATTTGAATGCTAACCTGCTTTGTATTTCTGCTTTTGAAGGTGAGGACAGGAAGATCAATGCAATTGATTATGAAAGCTTGATTAGAGAAAAGTGATTGCATAGGTGATCTGTTAGAAAAAATAAGAAAAATTACAGGTTTTGTTGACTTGGGTATGCAAGTTGTAATAAGGTGAGACATTTGTTTTGTTTAATTTGCAGAACTTAGGTCTAAATTTAGGATGTTTTGTTGGAAAACGTAACTGAAAGGAGAGATCATTGGACAACAAACACATTCAAATCCGACATGAAATATCTAAAATGGTTGCACAGCTCCATCACAGCAAAGGTGTTTTTTTTGCAGGCATATATACATCTTCCACTTTTGGTTTCATTTTTTCACTTCAGGGGTAGATTCTTGTGTTTTTGGGAGGTTTCAGTGGTGGTTAGGAGCAAAATTCCTGAATTTCTCTGAAGCTGAGGGCATTTAGGAATGAATAACTGCCTGAAAACATTTTTGAATTTTTATTAAAGTGTTGTTAGCTGCCTTGAGTCCCCATGGGCCGAAAGGTGGGGTATATATAAAGTTAATAATAATAATAATAATAATAATAATAATAATGAGAATATCTTGGAAAGATCTGTAAGAGCCT